GACATTCGCAGCTCTTCTGCGTTGTTGTTTACTATTAAACGACTTGTCTATGCTAAGGTGGCAAAATGGAGAAATGCTGATGCTCTGCGTGAAATTCCTGATGATTAACTCTTCTCCGGTGTTGGGATTTTGGTTCTTGCTGGTGAGGTTGCTTTTAACCAGGACTATGATGAAGCTCCATTATACTTTCCGAGAACTATTTTCCCCTTGGATGGCCCACGGGCAACCAGGGGTTATCGCCCATTCTATTATTTCTGAGTCCTGGTTATTTTCTGCTGGAGCTCCTGTTGGTGATCTCGGTATTCTGTTGTTGCTGTTGCTGTTTCTTTTTCCCTGCTCTTTTTCAGGTGAAACAGGTTCTTCCTTTAGGATCTGCATGAGATGGGAGTGTTGGCTGCTGCTTCTATGGCTAAAATCATTCTCTAGGTTCCTTATTGATCTTCTGCTGGCAGCGGTTTTTGCTGGTTTTTGTTGACTAACCACTAATGTAACTTTTTGTTTTTTTGGGTGGTATAGTTGGGGTTTTTATTTATCCTTATTCTGCACAAGTTTTTGTTTTTTTGGCTTGTGCTGAATATTTTTCTTTCATATAGTCAACTTTTTATTGTATCTTTTTGATATTAATAGATGGGCTTAGGCCCCAAAATTTCCCAAAAAAAAAAAAAATTTTGTTTTAAAAAACAGTAAAACAGTTGTCCCAAATAAAATCTTAATGATGTTAAATCATGTATATATAAATTCAACGCACTATAACCCGCGTGCTCATCATTGCATACCAAAAAAAAATTGAAGAGGACAATGCTAATTAAGAACTAGACTCTTTTGCTTCCGCAGACACTTTGTCTCCAATGTATTGAGGCTTTCTTTTCCTCCATAGATATCCCCTCTCAGAGCTAAGCCTCCTTCCTCTCTCTCTCTCTCTCTCTCTCTCTATTGAGTCAATCTCTCTCTTTCTCTCTCTACAACTTTTTTTTTATTTCTCTCTCATAGTAGATTACAAGTTGACTTCAACTCAAGTCTTCTGTTTGTTTTCCTGGGTTCTATGATTGCTGAGGCCTTTTGCTATTTCTGTGAGAAGAATTTCATTGTCAGCCACCGAAAGTGTAAGCACCAACTGTCATGTGGCAGTCCACAATTATAATAAGTTAAAAAAAATATCAAACTTTAATTTATTGTGACATTATTACTTTGTATGAAAACCATTAAATAATACATATGTAAAAGATGTTTAGATTATTCGCGAATAATAAAAGCATTTTTATATTTGATAAAAAATAATTTTTTTCTTGAAAATTGGTTTTTAACAAAATAAAAATTAAACCATTTTATATTTAAATATAATAAAATCAGTTTTTTTATATTTAAAGCCATTATTTATATTTGATATGTTATCAAAAAATTATCTTGATCTAGCACGAATCTCGAAGCAAAATCAAGTTGGAAACTTCTGAAATTAAAATTGGGACTATCCGAACTCTGATTTCAGTAAACTTACATTTGAATTGAGCGCCTCAAAAATATGAACCCAACGACACCAAAATCGACTCAATCCGAGTCCAAATGGATCCAAATCAAGGACCCGAAGCGCTGTTGGAAGGTTCGAACCACAATTTCGATTACCAAACGATTTCAAACATTACATTCTTATAATCAAATCAAGCGGCTCGACGAGACGAATCCAACGAGTCCAAGATCGCCGAATTCCACCATCACTAAGTTCTTCAAATGTCTAATGAACGGTCTACGGTCAAGGGATTTAATATCAATCATCCATCCAACCACTTCCCATTTACCCTTGATCTATCATCTATTTACGGGTCATGCCACTCCAGAAATCTATAAATAGATCCCTTCTTTCTCTTGAAAAGGGGGCTCCAAGCAAGAGAGCAAGAGAGAGAGATCGAAGATCACTCTTGCCTCCTCACTCCTCCTCGACCATTACCTGAGTTTCGCAGGACCACTACCTGACGTCGTTGCTTCGCCGGACCACCACGTGAAGCCCTCATCTCCGTCGAACCACCACTGGAGGCCCTCATCTCCGCCGGACCACCGCCTGACATTGTTGCTCGCCAAACCACCATGTGAGGCCCTCACCTCCGCCAGACAACCGCTTGACATCCTTGCTCTGCCGGACCACCACGTGAGGCCCTCACCTTAGTCAGACCATCACTGAAGGCCCTCACCTCTGTCAGACTATCGCCTGACGTCTTTGCTTTGCCGGACCACCACTTGAGGCCCTGAGTTCCGCCAGACCACCACTTGAGGCCCTAAGCTCCGTCGAAACATCACTTGAGGCCAAGCTCCACCGAACCACCACTTGAGGCCCTCACCTCTATCGTACCACCGCCTAATGTCGTTGCTCCGCCGGACCACCACATGAGGCCCTCAGCTTCCTTGGACCACTACTTGAGGCCCTGGGTTCTATCGGACCACCTCCTGAGACCCAGACTTCTCCCAAACCACCACGTGACGCCCAGACTTCTGTTGGACCACCACCTGAGGCCTGGACTTATGTTGGATCACCACCTAAGGCCCGAACTTTTACCGGACCACTACCTGATGCCTGTAGTTCTATCGAAGTATCGCCCTACTACTATGGTCTTTCAGACCCTTGTCTCCTACCGACTACGGTCCTTCCGACCTCAGTCGCCTATTATGGTCCTTTCGACCTCCATCACCTGACAACGATCTTTCTGCCTCCGGTCTCCTGCCAACTACGGTCTTTCGGACCTCTATCTCCTGCCGACTATGGTACTTCCGACCTCTATCACCTACTATGATCCTTCCGACCTCCATCACCAGACAATGATCTTTCTGACCTCTATCCTATCGACTATGGTCGTGCCGACCAAACAAACATGTCTATATTATAACTCCCACCATGTAATGCACTTTATATGATGTACATTTGTACCATCAAACCAAAGCCTTCTCCCAAGGAAGGGCCTCATTTATAATCGACTGTAAATACTAGTGGATTCATTCAAACTAGGCCATGACTCGTGGTTTTTCCCCCTTTTCAGGGGTTTCCATGTAAAAACTCTCGTGTCTCTTATGAACGCTATACCCTCTCTCTTATCTGATTGTGTGCTGGATCTTCGTACAACATTAAGATGTTAAACTCTATATTTCTCTACCGCCACGAATACTCCAAGACGCAACAATACTTAATATATTGTTTGTTAGATTTTATTCACCGCTAATTCCACTAAGATATTTTACAAATTTCTATATTTAATTGATTGTGATCTAATATAAATATAAATTTAAGGCTTCGTTTGGGAAGGATTTCAATTTTTGTACTAGAAATATTCTTTAAAAAGCAATAAGAAAATCGTCCCAAACAAAGCTTAAATCAAATCAAGCTTGATGCTTAATTACCAAACATTCATATTTTAATTAAATTATATAATTGCTACTTATTATATATCATAGCAAGATAGTGGAATTTAACTTAATAGCACTAGCGGTGTCAATTTCAGGTCACGAGTCAGGCTCGGGTCAAACCCGGAACTAAACCGACATTATTCGACCCAACACGAATCCAACCCGTTTTTGCAAATGAGTCAATTTCTTGGACCCAAACCCAACCCACTTCGGGTTCGTGTTGACCCGAACCCATCAACCCAAACCTGACCCGCTTTTCAACTTCGCTCCTTCATTATTGTTCGACTTTACTATTTCCTGGCAGATCGGAAGCAATCAAAAGTTTGCTCGGTATGGTGTGAAGGTAACTTTCTCCCTTTCGTGTCACTTGGTCTGTTGGTTGGCTCCTTCGTTGCTTTTTAACTTCGCTCATTGGACGACGTTCCCTAGCCTTGAGATATGATCGGAAGTTACAACATTTTGATCGGAAGCAACGACGGGAGTTCGCTCAGTGGAAGGACCGAAGTAGGCGGGAGACAGACGTTAAAAAGATCGTTGTCTAGTGATGGAGGTCAGAAGGACCATAGTAGACAACAGAGGTCGAAAGAACCGTAGACGACAGAATATAGGGGTTAGAAAGACCGTTGTCTTGCGATATATGTCGGAAGGACCGTAGTTGATACATCATCAAAAAATTATCTTGATCGGGCACGATCTCGAGGCAAAATCAAGGTGGAAATTTTTGAAATTAAAATTGGGACCATCTGAACTTCGATTTCAGTAAACTTATAGTCAAACTGAATGTCTCTGAAATACAAACCCAACGACACCAAATTTGACTCAAATTGAACCTAAATGGGTTCAAATCAAGGACCTGAAGCACTGTTGGAAGGTTCAAACCATAATTTGGATTACCAAATGGTTTCTAAACGTGATGATGCGTATAATGCATGCTAATGTCCAATATTTTCAATAATAGACGTGTCTCATGTTCGTATCACATCATATCTATATACCTGTATTCGTATTAGCACATCATATATTGTAGGGGTGTTAATATGTGACCCGACCCGAACCCGACTAAAAAAATCCGAGTTCATGTTGAACCATTTAATAAATTGGTAGGGTTCAAGTTGACTTATATAAGAACCCATTTTTGATCGGAAAATAACCCATTTAATATATTTCTCTTTAAATTTGTTTACTTGTGAGTATAATCTTCTTATTTTTTATCAAATATTATAAATTTTATAGTTAACAAGCTATTATTTTTTTAATCAAAACTGGTTAATAGATCGGGTTGAAATCATTCTAGTTGCTAATAGGTCAGGTTTGTGTAATTGTATTAGTGTTTTTGACCTATTTATTAAATAGGTCATTTTCAGGTTGACTAAATTCAATTCAGCTTAATTTTGGATTGAACCGAAATCTGATCTGTCCACCCATTTTGACACATTATCATTGCTGAATGAATTACATCGTATTTTGGCACAACTCTCTTTGGCCTATTAGTTGAGAGCTTAGGCTTCCAATTAAGAGGTCAAGGGTTCTAGTCTATGTGTATGCGTTGTGTGTGTGAGTTTGACTTAAATAGCCTAAATGTCCCAAAAAAATTACATCGTATTTTGTTTATGTTTTAATTTATTTGGGATATATTATTTGTTGCAAGAAGTCCGTGCAATAAGCTGTCAAATAATTGTGAAGGTCGGAGGAAATGGTCGCCGGCGAATGGGAGAATATCGCTGTGCACGGAGAGCATTCAAGCATGGGAGGTAATGAATGCCCGCATATTCTCTTTCCTGTTTCTCTAACCCTCTTCATTCCTCCAGGAGAGCTCGCCAGAACGAGGGCTTCATCCTTCTTACCATGACCATTCCGTTCCCTTTCCCTAAAGATCAGAAAACCTAGCATATTCAAAATAAATTATTGAGATAGGAAATGTTCTTAATTTCGATTGATAAAAGGCTTATTAATTGGATCCAAACCCTAAAATAGGGATAAGATTCTTGCTTGGAATAATTTTATGGAGGAAAATACCAAATTTGCTGCTTTTAGAACTCCTTTCACTAATGTTCGTATGTCATTGCTTTCAAAATTTGCAATTTATAGGTAATGTGAGCTCTTGGATTACGATAGGTGTGACAAAATGCTTAAAATGATATAGATAATTAGTCATGATAATTTTTTTTAATTATTATTTAATTAATATGATGCCTTGTAGTGGGATTTAATCTGCACTGTTATACCGGTTTTCTCAGTATCTAAAGGAGAGAGAGCTGAAGATGATGAAGAAGTTCATAATTAAAATCGCTGAGATGTGGTTTCAACTCCCAACTTGGCTATATCATGGGCTGCTTTGTGTATGTACTATTGCAAGTGCGTGAGCTTCATCGAATTGGATGAACTATTGTGTAGGTATGTTGAATACCTTGACATTCTTATTGACATCTTGTTAGTAGTGCACCTGACCATGTTTATTATTACATGTTTGCTTAGGACAATAAGATTTTTATTCAGCATTTTGGAAGCATTCATACTTAATTTTGATGTGTTGCATTCTTGAATTGTGCTATTAATGAGATAAACATGCTATTATACTAGATAAGGCCCCGCACAATTTCATGAGCAATATTTGTAGTTGTTTGTGGTATATGATTGCTATGATTGCCTCATTAGAAAATTGATGATCCTTACTGATTGGACCGACTTAACTTTATTGGAGCATATTGGGTTACCAAGACCGACATGTTTAGTAGATGTGATGCCTTCTTTACCATTGAATTAGGTTAGGCTTGTGTATTGGTCAAAGCTACATCAATTTTGTAGATTGAATATTATAATATTGATATTGTTGGCACAACTTATCAATTGATTATTATGTATTCTTGTTATTGTTATAGTTGGTGCATAAATCTCACTCAAATGAACTACATTTAAGGTCTATTTATTGGTGGGTGGGTGTTTTAGTTTTTTATAGTTCTATATTTGTTTATTGGGAGGTTTGATGGAGAAGTATAGAGAGAATAAGGAGGATCTACATATAATATTTATTGATTTAGAGAAAACATATGATAAAGTTTCAGGAGTAGTGCATGGAGTGTTCTAGAAAAGAAATGGATTAATAATGTTTATATTCATGCCATTAAGGATATGTTTGCAGGAGCTGTTATTTGTGTTCAGATGCAAGGTGGTTTGACCAAGTATTTTCCTATTTCAGTTGAATTATATCAAGGATTAGCCTTAAGCCCATATCTTTTTGCTTTAGTCATGGATGTTCTCACTAGACATTTGCTAGAGGTTGTATCCTAGTGTATGCTTTTTGCTGATGATATTCTTCATATTGATAAGACTAGATAGGGAGTTAAAGTTAAACTTGAATTATGGAGGTAAACCTTAGAGTCTAAAGGCTTTCGTTTGAGTAGATCTAAAACTGAATATATGGAGTGTAATTTGTGTAATAATAGTTCTAGTGAGGGGATTGTAACTTTAGGTGATCAAGCAATTAATAAGAGTAAACATTTTAGATATATTGGTTTATTGTTTAGAGTGATGGTGAGATAGATGGGGGTATTATTATTAGAATTTAAGTTGGATGGTTGAAGTGGAGGAATGCATCGACTTGTTGTGTGATAGAAAAGTCCCCTCAAACTTAAGGGAAAATTCTATAAGATGGTGGTTAGATCTACAATGCTTTATGATGCAGAATGTTGGCCATTAGAGAAGCATAATATTAAGTTAAGTGTTGCATAAATGAGGATGCTCAGGTGGATGAGTGATGTAGAACGTAGAGGGGGGTGATAAAAATTTTAAAGATCTAAAATTCCACGTCATATTTCTCTTAACTAATGGATTTGAATTTGAAATTCAAACAAGAAAGAAGGGAGGGAAGAGAGGAATTAATTATTTCTTTAATATGGGCCTTTAATTAGGAAGAAAATCATTAGGATAGAGGGGAGAGAGGGGCCGACCAAGTGAGAGGGAAGGATGAGGTGTCTAAGTTCAATGAATGTGAATCAAGCATTAATTGGAATTGAGAATTAATTCTGAAATTAATTTCAGATTTGGAGGGATTGGAGGGGCTTCCTAAAATGGATTTATTAATCTGGAAAGGTTTTTGAAATTTAAATCTATTTGAATTCAATTTAAGAAGCTTTCTGATAGGTGGTGCTTGAGTTCGCAAGTAATCCTATCGGATCTACTTGAGTTCGCAAGAAAACCTAATCAAAATTCGTAAAAACAAAGAAAACATAGAAAACATGTGGAAGAACAATCAAACGATAGCAATGACTTATGGAAAACAAAGGAAAACAAACACAAAGCAAGATACAAGAGATCCTCAATTCAAGAGGAGGATTGTCTCTCCCAAATCTCTAGACAAGAGACTCTAGAGCTCAAACACCAAGAAACCCTAATTCCCAATTAAACAAAACATAATCCTCCCTAATCCTTTCATGCACTTTAATACAAAAGCTTTCCTAATCTAATTTCCCTCCCAAATACTCAGTTCTATATATATATTTGTAATTAAGTTGAATTTGAAACTAAAATCTTTTCTGTTATTATTCTAATGAAAACATATGCCAATATTTTAATATACTATTGAATGAGATCTTGATATTATTTTTACAACGAGTAAAAAATTTTTTAACGTCAATTTCATAGAACTGAGTATATCATTTCACTATTAATCCTACTTGTACCATTTCAAACTTTTATTTGCCTTATATTTTATAGAAAAAAATCAATTGTTTCATTACCTTTTAGTAATTTAACAACTTCGTAAGTGTGAACTTTTTTAGGCATTCATTTTTTTTCTCATAGCATTTTTTCAATTATTATTTTTAAGTGGCTCAAATAGGGTTTATTGTATTCTTATAGAATTTGGGTTGATATTTGTCAATAAGGCTTTATGTGAAGGGGAAAGAATATAAAAAAATGTATATTGGGAGAAGGAATGCAGATAGATCGTGATGGTTGATTTTTGTTATCTAATAATGATTTTGAGTCTTGAGCATACTGGAGATTTTGATTGGACTTCTTTCTTCTTGTGTAGACCTGAATCAATGTAATGCTTTGATTTGTGGGATTTGTGTCGTATGAATGTCAAGATATTTTATCAAATATATTTTTAGTTGAAAATTATCCCCTTAAAGATGAATTTGATTGAATATATATATATATATATATATATATATATATATATA